GCCTCAACAATATAGAACTTATCTATGCTTACTTGTGCGGAAAAATCATGTACTTGTACCAAGTGTATGAAAGTTACTTAAGTGTTAAAGCACAATTGCATTGCTGTTATGGCCAGTGGAAATCAGCATCCTTTCAAGCTGTTTCGAATCAAATTTTGTGCGGTGATTGCAGTGCAGTGGTCAAAAACTGTTTTTGCTTTTTTGTCTGAAATGCAATTGAGTCGAGATCCAGCAAAATGCATTTGGCTACAACTAAGTTCATTAGGAAACACGGATTAATGATATAGTTTTAATTGGTTTGGGTGTTAGCTGTTCACCAAAGTCGGCTAACCAGAAGAGATTTCTGCTTTGAAATTCTTCCTGCTTGGTCTAGACGGTGGATAATTTGTCATTGTCTGTGAAATATTTTAAAATCAATCCATTGAATAGATTTTGCGCGACAAAAAGAAAACCCGTCGATTATGCACGATCGATTTTCCGGACTTTTTCTGTTGTTGACTTCTTTCTCTATGGACTTCATGATTACAGTCGGTGTTTTTTCTTTTTGATATTGCAGGTATAGTAATAGTAATGAAAGAAGTCAGTCGGATACAACAGGGTATAGTTCGGCGCCATCGTCCGATACGAACGATCGGCGCAACTCAGATAGTGTGAGAAAAAAGGACAAGTCCAGGTCCGGCTCTCGATCGCCATCACCAAACGGTAGTACCAGTACTAGATCTCCTTCGAGGTAAGATTTTTAAATTTCGCTTAAAGATCTCCTCAAACGGGCGAGTTTACAAGGCCGCAAAAAAGCAACCTCAAGAAGTTGAGAAGACATTTAAGTCGGTTTTGGGCCAGCTTTGAGTGAATGTCCCAGTGGAGAACATGCAAAGCTTGTGCGGTTTATCCACAAAATGTTTCCTGCTTAATCTGGGCACAGTGTATGTGGAATTTGAGTTACATGCTGCGTTTGCATTGCTAAATCCCAATTGGCGTTTCATTGAGTTATTGGGCAGGGCTTGAGTTAACAGTTTACTGGTGGAAAACAGTTCATGGTTCGATGTTTATATTGCACTTTAATTCCGACTTACTCTGTGTCTGAGGTGTTATTTCAGTAACAATGATCATTCGATTAGATTACGGTAATCCGGTTGCACTAGTGAAGGAAACATTCCAAGGCTTATAGAATAAGACCGAAAGGTGCTCCGACTGACTGTTAAGGGGTGAACAGGATGATTAGGCAAAACGATACCAAACTATTTTACTTTACTGTTGCTCAGTTGTATTGAAAATGTATTTTTTATTTATAGATCACGTTCGCGGAGTAGTAGTAGCACATCGTCGTCCTCCACGTCGCGCGGTACGTCTTCGACGTCTTCACCGCGCTCGCGCCAACACCGGCACCACTACAAGAAGGTAACTGCGCAGAACGCTGGCGCTTCAGAAGATCGCCGACCGCTTGGAATTCGTGTGAGTAATTTGCCGGTCCGCTCGAGCGATACTTCCTTGAAGGATGGTTTATTCCACGAGTATAAGAAGCATGGCAAAGTTACATGGGTGAAGGTAGTGGGCCAGAATGCTGACCGGCACGCGATCGTCTGTTTCAAAAAGCCCGAGGACGCTGAAAAAGCACTAGAGGTCAGCTATGATAAGCTGTTCTTTGGATGCAAAATTGAAGTGAGTATGCTTTGCCTTAACACTCTTGGAACTGTCCTCGCAACCCCCTGGAATTGGGAGCGACATCACATTTCAATGGAACACTTATGATAAGAGCGCTCGACTCCAATTACTCGAACTGGATAGTGATGGCCCTTTTTTCTATTTGAGCAAAGTGGAAATTGTCCTCCTCAACCCTCCTTTTGTATGCTTTGTCCAAATACTATGAAAAACCACTTTTCTCGGTTGGGTTTCACAAATTCCTCCAATCTTCCCGAGCCACAACAGCTGAACTTTGCCACTAAGCTTGAAGAGAGGATTCTGAATTTTAGCTTCTTTTTGCAAGGAATCTCAAACACTCATCTAAAAACGGTAGTTTTTTCGCTAATTTTTTCAATCTCTCTATAGAAAACCCCTGGAATTTCGCTCAAGGCTTAAACAGACGAAAGCGGAAGTTTTCCCACGGCTGTTGTAAATTTTGGCCCTTTCCCAGAAGCAATTTTCTTAGTCACACTCAATAGCAGATGTTTTTTTTTTTTAAGAAAACAACAAGACAAAATGTCCAATTTCTAGAAAATGTTCACAATCCGCCATAATTTTCAACATGCTCTAAATCCGCAATAAATCGCACGATTTATCGATCAAAGCCCCACGCTTTACGCTTATATGGGCTGACGTTCAATATTGAGCCAATTTAATTGTTCAATAAATCGGGGAAAAGTGCGAAGTTTGTCTAAGTGTAATACCGGAATTAGAATTTTTTTGAGGACTTTTGAGAATTTTGTCTTGTCCAAAAACTCTTTTCCCAGTTGGTTTTTACAAAATTCCTTGGAACATCTGAACCAAAATAAGTAAATTTTGCGCAAGCAAAAGCGGCTGATTTTAAGAAAAGCGGTTTTTTTGAGAATTTCATTTTGTCCCAAAGCCTTTTGTCAGTTGTTTTTTTTTAATTCCTCGAAACATCCAGAATAGGCCTGGGTAACTCAGAGCATTTTTAGGAGTTGGCGCTGTGCTATGCAAATAGCTTAGGGCGCCAACCCAACATACCGGCGCAGTAACTCAGTTCCATTGCTGGGAAAATGTTGATGGCTTTTTTTAGATTTATTTTAAAGGTGGTTTACTAATAATATTTTTAAAATATCTTCAAATTTCATAATTTTCCCGTTTTAGCCAAGTTACTCAAATGCTCAATTTTCGCTTAGTTTAGCTTAAAAATGCTGACAATGTCAAGGTAATTTCCGCGAAAAATTGTGAAATAAATTTCGAAACCTTCGTCGCTTTGTGAAAAGTTTGAAATCCCTTTCCAGCTTCGAATTCGGAACAAAAATCAAAAAACGAACAGAATGAGCGAAAGTTTATAACGGATTATTTGGAAATCTCGTCACCTCCATTATTCTCAAGAATTATCTGTAGAAGTTGTTAAAAAATGTGGTTTTTTGGTTTTGACTGATTTTTTTTTTGCTTTACTTTCTACCCAAAACGCTCTATTTTGTAGAGTTTCACTTAAAAATACTGAAAATTTGGAGGATTTTTACGCGAACAATTACAAGATGAATTTATGGCTTTATGGCAAACTAAATCTTTTATGCAAAAAAATGAAGAGATCGATTTTACAAGAAAATTCATCGAGTTTCTTTGGACTCAGTTCTGTTGCAGGGAAAATCTAGATTACTTTTTTTAGGTGTAAAGCTTTAACAATTGAATTATAACTCATTAACTGATAAGTTATAACTCGTTAACTCAGAGAGCGGGAACCACTCAATAGCGCAACTCAACACAGTGTTACCCAGGCCTAATCCAGAGCCAAATCAAGTAAAACTTCGCACATTGTTTAAACAAGCAAAAGCGGATGATTTAGAGAGATTGAGAGAGAGAGCGGTTTTTGGATTTCGGAAGTTTTCGTGGATTTTTGAAAATTTATTTTTCTCCGAATACAGGGCTCACCCTGTATTTTAATTAGCCCAGGATAGTTTCGTCTATTTATTTCTAAGCTTCGTTTTCTGCTATGAAATGTGTTAAGTCTGAGGAACCTTTGTAATGTTGCATCTACAACTGGCCAGAATCTCGTGAAATTCACTCCAACATCAAGTTAAACGAAATAGATTTTTTGCTCATTCTTCGAAGAAACCGCTGTTTCTGTTTGGGGAATTTTCCAGCTTTCTTCTAAGAAACTTCAGAATGCCGAAGCCACAAAGAGTCCCTAGATAAAATGAATGAACGAGCCAAAATATATTTAAGATATTTCGAAATTTTTTACATAAAACTATTTTTTTAAGTTGACGAGAAATCTCAGCAAACCTTATACGCATTTCAATATACTCGTTTCGGAGCACTTGGTGTGATTTATAATCCATGTTATCTGCAGAGTGTTTGTTTTTAAGTATTTCCAGTTTTCTAGATAATATTTTTTTGGGGTGGTTTTCTTCATGTAGATTAATAGATAGAATATGGATCCTTGCGAGAACTTGTAACTTTCCAATGGGCTCATGGAGTGATTTTGTTTTCAGGTGGAACCACATTCTATTTGCGATATTGATGAGGTGGAGTGCCGCTACGAGTCGGAGATAGATGAGTACAATCCGAAGGCAACCAGGACGCTTTTCATCGGCAACTTGGAGAAAGACGTGACTGCATCCGATCTCAGAAAACATTTCGATCAGTTCGGTGAAATAATCGAAATCGACATTAAAAAACAAGGGGCTGTGAGTTCGTACGCTTTTTGCCAGTACTCGGACATAGTTAGTGTGGTAAAGGCAATCCGCAAAATGGACGGTGAGCACTTGGGCAACAACCGGATCAAGTTGGGTTTCGGAAAGTCTATGCCGTATAATTGTGTGTGGATAGATGGGGTGGTGGAAACCGTCACCGAGAAGTACCTGATGATTCAGTTCGAACCGTTCGGCGCGATTTCAAAGTGCATAATCGATCGCGAAAAGGGCCAAGCTTTAGTGTTTTACGAGCATGTGTCTCAGGCCCAGATGGCTGTTAATAAAATGAGGGGTTTTGTGCTGAAAAACGCGAAACTGCAAGTGGACTTTGCGAGCCGTGAGTGTCAGGAGTGTTTCTTCGAACGGCTGGAGAAGCAGGGCGCTGTATTAGAGAGGGCGGGGTTTGAAGATCGCAGAGATTCAAGCTCGAGGAGTTTTGATTCTACTGCCGCTTCGCGGATATCCAGGCAAGTCCTTCCGCCCATCCAGGTCACCCTGTCCTTTTTACAGTCTTTTCTCCTGTTCCAGATACGACACACCGACGCGACCTCGCACATC